CAGGTCCCCTGCCCGTAGATCCTATCAAGATTTATTCGTGCAACGTAACTCGAACATTGCGTCACACTTCCAGTGTCTGATTGACATTGGTGCAACGTGATTTACAGGGTTGTAACCCCCAGAAACGAGCAGAGTTTACCGTAAGTTGGGTACAAAGATCCGGGTAATTATTCAAATTCGTCGACAGTGAGATTTGAACCCCAGACCTCTTGCATGGCAGTCTGGCAACCTAACCACTACACTAAGATCGCCAGACCTTTCTATCTTGATTTATTATATAATATAACTTTAATATTCTGTTATACTTCTAATATCTAATTAATATTAATACAATATGATTTATAGAGTTACAACCTCCAGAAACAAACAGAGTCTATTATAAGTTACAAAGTTTGAGAAATTATTCAAATTGTTAATAGTAGAATTTGAATTTCAAATCTATTGTATGATAGTTTGATAATCTATCTACTACACTAGATTACTAGACCTTCTAGTAATAACTAAATTAGTTTATATTTGTTAAAACTTAAATACAAATTAATTATTTGTAATATTTGTATTATACAAATTATTTAAATAAAGTATAGATATGTTTGCTAAATTAATTAACAAAAATTGTAAACTTTAAGTAGTTTACTATAAGTATAACTTTATATATCAAGATATTATTTTAATATTCTAATAAAAATATAGTTATCCTATATACCAAATAATAATTATTAAATAATTACTAAAAATATAAAAATTTATAAAATATTTTTAAATTCTTTGTTTTTTTTTTACAAATAGTATAGTTGATTTTCATTAATATTAATCTATTTGAATTAGTTTTAAATTATATTGATAATAAAATTAATTTATAAAAATTTGATTTGTAGTTTAAATTGATATTAACAAAAATTATATTTAAAAAATATTTTAGCTAATACGAATTTTGGCTAATACTGATTTTTTAAATCTATTTTATTATAAATTAAAATTTTTTTTAAAATTTTTTATAAGTTTTTTTTTAAAAAAATTAGATTAGAATTTAAAGTTGTTATAATAAAGTATATAGATTTAACAAGTTTAATAGATTAAAATTAAAGTCAGTATTAGCTATAATTAGCATTATTTACGACAAAAAAAAAATATTAAATATATAAAATCTCTCATAGCAAAAAGATAAACCAAAAAAATTTATTTTAAAAAAATTTAATATCTTGAAAAATTAGATTAATTAGAATAAAATTAGTATAATAATAAAATTTCTAATTTTTTTGCTTAGCCTCTTCTTTTGCTATAAAGAGTTCTATATATTAATATTCTAATATGATATCTACTAATATTAAATCTTGTAAATAGTTGACTTTTAAATTTTTCAAATAAAGATATTTCGATAGTCTTTTTTATTTTCAATATTTAATGCTATTTTTGAATTTTACAAATTAATAGAATTCAAAAAACATTGAAATTAACTAGCCGTTATTGAAATATTTTCACTCAAAGATTGTAAAAAACAGAAGCTTAAAATAAGCAATAGAAAAATCAAGTATAAAAATTAATATAATTTTTAGCAAATTACAATAATTTGAAAATTGAAAAGTTATATAATATCGATATATTTTAAACCAAACTTATAATATAAATAAAATATTAAACTAAACCTAATTTAAAACTAGGTCAAATTGTTCAAAATTCAATTAGATTTTTAAACAAAAATTATTATTGATAATACAATATCTATATACTGTATACTTAAGCTAATTAGATTGATATTAAACACTAGTCGATTGGTTAAATCATTCTATATAGTCAAAATTGATTGTCGACTAGCCTGGTTATCGCCGTCATGATACGGAAGATCACTATGTGGATGACTTGATTTAAAATTGTTGCATAACGAACATTTTCCAACATCAAAATAATTATTTTACATTTCTTATAATATGCACACGATATAATTTATATATAAAAACATCAATAATTATATTACGACAGGAAACCCGGGTTTTTTAGGTTACGTTATTGATGCAGATCACTCCTAATATAGTATCTAACCCTAATAAAAATATAGATCTGCATCAAAAAAGTAACCTAAAAAACTCAAGTTTCACCCTCCCGTATTATATTTAAAAGTGATATCAACTACATCAGCTACATCTTTTTTTATGAGAGATCCTAGGGTTGTTATAAAGGTTAAATCCGTTTTTACGAGGATACTCGATTTCAAAATCATGCAGGTGACCTGGGTAACAAATTTACATACTCTAATTTTAATGAGCTTTTGCGATAAGTTCCAACAATTCGAGAACATATAGTCACCGCCGCTTAAGCTAAATTATAAAAATAAAAATAACATACAATTCACGATTTAGTGAATTATAATAACTGGTATGCACAAATTTTTAGATACTCACCGATGCGTCAATAACCGTACGTTGTTGACCAAGAAATGATGTAGGTCCTTGTCGTTGCAAGAACACATGATCACCTTGAATTCGTCGACCCATACTAAACCAAGCACTCGTGATCAATTTAATCTCTTTAGCAGCATATTGCCTTGCCTCTTCGTTAGATTGCTGTTTATCCATAATAATAATGGTTAAACAGTTGCGAAGTTAATGATTATAAAAAGAATGAGTGCAATTCAAACCTTAAGACGAGAGATTTCTTCGGTGTAAGCTTTCATCTCTGCCTTCATTGAAGCTTCACGACTCTTATTAGCTTCAATGATCTCATGTTGGCCTTTAATTAGCTGTCTGGATGCTTCAATCTTCTTTGCTTTATCTGCAATTTGCTGATGCAGCTGAATATTTTGACTCTTAAGATCATCCTCACTCATATCTTTCAAACTTTGAATAAAGGAATTCAACTCCCTAAAGTTTTACCAAACAGTCCATTACATTATTTACATAAAAATTGTTCTAATAAATTATTTCAACAATAAATTGTTTTAGAACATACTCGTTGCTTCTCTTCAATTCTTCTTTTTCTGCCTCTAAATCTTTAATTCTAGATTCTAGAGTTGCTGTATAAAAACAAAACGAATAAACGTTTATGTCGCCGTTTTTGTTTTTTCTTTAATTCATTTGAACGAAATGCGAATTCTGGTACCGAAAATCAGATCCAAAAATATAATAATCTAGGAATCTGATATCGTACCGAAACCAAATATATGCATAATACGTACAATCTGATTTAGCTTCATCCCCATCTTTTCCTGCCTGAGTAAGTTTAAACTGGGCATCAATAAGCTTTCGCTTAGTTTCCATTAATTCTCTTTCAAAGCTCTTTCTGTTTTCAGATTTATCCACACTATAATACATATTTTATTAGGTTATAAAACTTAACGATTATTAAAAATTCCGTAAACAATAATAACTTACCCATTAGAAGTACTACCATTTTGTTGTATCCGTAGCTCACTTTCCAATTCCTGTTTTTCTTTCTGAACCTTATTGTAATCCTTTTAAGTTTTTACAAATTTAATAAGTTAAAATTTTTTTAATTATAGAAATTATCAACAAAGATTATCGTTATACCTTTTCAAGTTTAGCTTTAGAACGGTTGACATCTTCCAACATAACTTCTAATACTAATAATCGCGCCGTATCGGCATCTCCTTCTGCTGGTTTACCATCACGTACCCTGGCTAATTCTCGTTCAAGTTCATTTACTTTCAATCTCAAACCAGCCATTGTGCTTTCTTTCATCTCATCTTCAATAGATCGATCATTATTTCCTACCACTTCTGTTTTCTCATCATCTAGTTGCAGACGTTCTCCTAAGAGTAATAAACAAATGTTTAAGAAAAAAATATATATCTATTCAAAATTTTATTGTTATTACAAACATACCATCACCAAATTCTATTTCTCTTAAACGATCTTCCAACAAGCGTATGGCTTCCATGTCACGACTCTGTGCCAGTTCATGAGCTTCGATTTTTGTTCGCATATGTTTATTTTCATATTCAAGTTTATTATTTTGAGTGATCAATTCAGCCTTCTCGATCTGAAGAGCATCAATTTGCTTCTTATAACCTTCCATTAGTGTCTTATAAGCAGAAACTTTGCGATATTCATCTTCTAAATGCCTGTTGCGTTCGTTAAGTTGTTGATTGTCTTGCTCCACAACCTAAAAATTACAATAAAATAAATATGAAAATTTATCTATTAAAATAGGAATTCTATTGTTTATTAAATTTATAAGAATTTTCTATATACACACTTTGAGTGTTCTTCTAATATCAGCAGTTTCCTCAAATTTCTTTTTATATTTTTCGATAACGTTCTCGGCTTTCTTTAATTTATCTGTAGAGTGTCTATGTTCATCTAGTTGATCATTTAATTGTGCTGCTCTATCGGCTTGTTCAGTGAGATCAATGATCTAGTTATAAAATACCACTTATAAATATGATAATGAACAAAATTGGTACAAAAAGTGATGATGAATTACTTTTTTAGTAAGGTCGTTTATCGTTATATTGCTTCTTTCAACTAGGAGTTCTGTTTCATGACGTTGATTTTCACTTCGAGATCTTTAAAAATAAATTTGTTTACAAGTCAATTAATTATGATAATATAAAATAACCAATTTAAGATAATAATACTTACAATTCGTGTCGAAGGTTATCAATTTCAACTCTCAAGTGGAAATCTTTACCACTCTCCATCTCTCTAAGTTTTTGTCTAAGATCGTCGTTTATACCTTGCAAATCATCCTGAATAATAAAAATAAAACCACTATTAATTGAAATATTAAGTAGATTAAATGCTATACAAGTTAGTTAGTTACATATTGAGAGCGCAATTCGGAGAAATCATCCAACAAAGTTGTGAGAGTTTTTTCAATAGTTTCTTTCTCCTCAATGATTTTTCGATACTCTGCATTAGATTTATTAAATTCAGGCTCCCTGAGATAATAAGAAGAAATATTAATATTATACCATTTTTTTCGCAAGCAAAGGATTTCAAATTTATAATTTGATAATAAGTAATTACGGAATGGGAATGGGCGGTGGGAGTTGTCTGACAGGTTGTTGAACAGTAAGTTCTCCTAATCGACTCATTACCTATTTATATATGCTAATTAGTAATCTATTTATGAAAAAAAAAACCCCAGATGAGATTTACTATATTTGACACATATACATACCCTTTCGATGGATACCATTAAACCTTGTTGGGATGTTGGACTCAGAGACTGAATTTTCTCGATATACACAGCATTTTTATCAGATCTAACAGCCAACGTAAGGATCATCGACCATAACTTTATTGTTTCATCGAGACTCCCGTCTTTTGCAATATGTAAAAGATTAGGTTGATCAAGATTCACAACGGGAAATCCAAGAACCTCTTGATAATAATGTGTAAGACGCGGGTACAATTGTTGAAGCTTCTTTACTTTTGCAAGATAATTATCCTCTCGATTATTATCATTTGAAAATTTGAACCATTTATTATCACTATATAATATTCAGCCCAAATATGAATAATAAAGGTCAAGGAATTTTTCTATAGTTTTATAGTTCAACTTTTAAAATTCAGTGTCGTTGAATCTAGAGCAAACCTTACATAGTACAAAGAGCCTCGTTCATAACAGCGACATCAGCAAGATCATTTATCGTAATAGGACGCGAAATCCTAAAAGTGTTTACCTATATAAACAAAAAAAGACAAGAGATAATTGTGCCAAAGATAAACATCTTTACGACAAAAAGTAGACAATTTTGCAAAATTTTAAAGTTTGCAAGTAAACAAGGTCATACCCAGTCAACTAAAGCAGAAGCTAAGTTCGGTTGAGCCATGTCTTTATTTAATTGCAGTTGGTCTTATAAAGAACGAATAGCATGGATTTATAAGTTCTATTTTATAATGAACTTAAAAATTTACTCCCCAAAATAAGTTTCTTATAATTAAAAGTTTACAATAAAAGAAATAATTCCGAACAAGTAATTGCAAATTTGGATATGGCAGCAACTTTATAGGCTGAGCGAAAATATAAATTTTAACGCGAGATATACTTTACTTTTCTGTATAAAGATAAGCCTTCGATCATTCAGTGGCTTACGTCAACACTGATGCACCAAATTACCCAGAAGGACGTACAAGTATGGTGCATTAACCCTGCTGGTCCTGTTTATATTACATCCGCAACGGTAAGTTGACTGACACCTCTAACAGGTATCACTGATCGACATTTATTGACCAATAACATTAAGATATTAGGTTTAACGTGAAAATCACGCTTTTTTGAAAAAACTCCTATCGCTATGAACCTGTGTTCTTGGTATAATCATAACCCTAATATAAAGTTTATAATTTTAAATTTGACGCTTTATTCGATTGCTTTGATGTGCACTAGGATATTCAGTATGATACGCATGTACATATTTGTAATAATAATATGTAGTGTGATTTTAAAAAAAGACCTCTCTATGCACACTTGACACAATTCTTTCACAATTTATCCTATTAACGTATTTATTTAACTTATTTGGTTATAATTATTGCTTTAATTAAGGCCATACAAAGTTAATTCTTTGACTCTTTATACCGATAACAAAACAATTTAGAAGTAACCCAGCCTTTTATTTTTTTTTTGTACAACAAAGTTTCACAATATGCAATTATTATTATTATTATATATCAGATATATATATATATTTTTTTTTTTTGGGTTCTATTTTTTATACCCCTCAAATTTATTATTCATACCCCTCTTGTGAAATTGCAATTTTTTTCAACTTTGAATAAAGATATCTCAGCACTTACCTAATCAAATTTGATAAAATTAATTCTACAGATCTATAGAATTCAAATAAAAAAAATTCATCGAATTTGTTTCGGTAGTTGTCAAGATATATTTTATTAAAGTCAGTAAACAGTTCAAAACATCTCAAAATTGAAGTAATCTAAAGTTTTAAAACTTTGAACAAATATATCTTGGCTCCTACCAGATCAAATTCGATGGAATTTTTTTTTATTTTAATTCCACAATTTTGTAGAATTCAAACAAAAAAACTTTCATCGAAATTGAACAGGTAGGTGCTGAGATATCTTTGTTTAAAGTTAGTAAACAATTCAAAACGTCTACGTATTAAAATTGATACTACGCCAAAACTTTGAATGAATATATTTCAGTATCTACCTGACCAAATTCAATAAAAAATTTTTGCTTAAATTCTACAGAATTGTAGAATTAAAATAAAAAATTTTTTATCGAATTTGGTTGGGCAAGTGCTGAGATATCATCATTAAAAGTTGCAATTTCACAAGGGGGTATGGTTAATAAATTTGGGGGTATAAAAAATAGGACCCCATTTTGTTTATACGTATTAATTTTTGAATTTTGTTAAATATCGCAGGTTGCTATATCGCAGGTTAATATTTAAAAAAAAAAAATCAAAAGTCGGATTAGTTAAGGTTAGGGTTCGAGCTAGTATTAGGGTTAGGGTTAGAGAGCATATATATATGCAAAATTAAGAGCTGAGGAATTTTTTTAGAAAATACGTATGCTGGGTCTACGTCGTAATAAAATTTAGTAAATTATGTTAGCCAATCACATTTGATTGTTATTTGCTGCGGCTGTGACGTCGATCATCAACCCGGTATCGTCATCTATTTACTACTAAGGAAATAGCACTTGTAGACTTAGACGCGTTTTAAATGGCATTCTCGTCGGTTAACGATTTGACTGCTAGACTCGAAAAGTTGGAACAGAATATTACTTTGACACTACAGGAAATTGACAATAATTTTTCCATGTGTCAACATAAAGTGACTACTAGAATATTACCACAAATATCGCGTTTCGCCGAAATTTCAGAAGACATTTGGGAAAATTCAAAGGTAATGTTCTTAATAATTATACTCAATTTTAAATTGTATAGTTAATTAATTATGCTATGTATTTTTTTAAGTTATGGTGGTCTTTTTTTGAATCTTTAGATTTATCCACTTTAAATGATAACTCGTCACCACCTTCGACGGATTATATCAATTCCAAAAAAAAACTTGTTGATGGTTTATCAAATTCAAAAGAGAATAAGGCAGATGATGAAATTTTTATCGATTCGACAAAGAAAGCTACTGACATTTTATTAGAAACAGGAATTAACAAATTATCAGAAAATTTTGATAATTCCAACAGCAAAAAGAAATTTGATGAAATTTTAACAAACGCAGCGAATAATAATAGTAAGACCACTAATTCTAGCATCTATCCACCTTCTGCGAAATATCTTTCTATCTCATCGACTCCATTACAAGATCCACCAAAGTTGGATCATAAATTATTGCAATCACCAGCTTGGGGTGAAAAAATTCAAAAGAAGAAAGTTTCAGAAGACCTTTCTCATGCCACTAACTCTACCTACATATCTATGCCAGCTTTACCACCATCTGATCGTAAACCAAATACGTTGATAGAACGTGTGATGCAAAGACAACAAATACTGACTAGGCAAACACCTCTAAAACCTATTATAGAGAATAATAAAAATTCATATAATGGTGCAAATTTTCGTCCAAGCTCCTATTTTCCTGGTGGCCCACCGTCGTCTCGTGGTACCGACAGCGATTTTGCCGAATTTTCACCACCTGTCACAATTCAATTTTCAGTTGCACCTTCAAAATTACTGAAAACGCCGGCAAAAGAGGCAGCAAAAATCATCGTTGATGATCTTATAAGCATATTAAGTCCAGTCCCGCCAACACCAGTTAGTGTGGATGAAGACGGATACTGTACTGTTAAATCTAAAACTTTTTCTAACGTGTTGGACTCAAAAATCTTTCCAAATTTTCAACCAGCTTCAAGATATGAACCTCAAGTTGGCACACTCAATTTTCAAGACATAATGAACTTAGACGCAAATAATTTCGAAAATACTTTTAAAGATAATATTTTATATGATAATAATGAACAATATGATGAAAATGATGATGATGGATTGCGAGAAGATGATACTTTCTTTAATTGCAAAGCGGCGATTTTAACTAGACAACAGCATCACCGGTAGGGTTGGGGGCACGGGTTAAAAATTAAGCATGCCAACAAGGGCATGCCTATGTGATACAATATAGATAGATTCTCTTTGAACTACTCAACTAATAAGAGATTACAAATTCACATATTTCTTTTACTTAATAAAATAACTCGCGTTGTGGAAGAATCAGACATTACCAGTCATACGATTTGTCATATACTATGTTTTTTTTTACTAATATAATGTAAAATTTTATTCTAAACAAGTTTACTTAAGGGTAGAGTTCAATGATATCATTTTTTATATGACTTTGATGGTAAATTTTTTTTATTTTTAATATTT